TTGTCCACCAGTCTGGTTGTTAAGGAAATTTTGACCTTAGTAACATCCGGTGGTCCTTCCAGACTCAGGGTACAATAGTTACATCGAACTTTTACTCTTGTGGTATCGGTAGTTAAGGGTCATATTCGGCAGTTCTCTCCCCGGCCATGTGCTTCCTCGGATCATCTGCAACCGACGGCATTCGATTCTCGACCCTATCTACCCTATGTCGAAGGGCGAGTTTCTGTGACCCGACACGAATTTTTCCTCTTGGTACAAAACGTGGAACAAACTGCATCGCCAGATCTATATTCACAAATCATCGCCAACGCTAATAACGCCGTCATATACAAAAGAAGGCAATTGAAAGGGTGTAAAGCGAACGTTGCTCACCGGGAAAATGAATGAGAAACGTTTAGAAAAAGCAAGTGTGTGTTAACCCTTGGCAGGTAGGCGGGTGCATTACAGTCATAAATCCACACTTGGTACCCTCCAAGACACATACCCAACCTCGAGACTGCCCAAGAGAAAGCATTCTGGTACCTCCCGAGATACGAATGTACGCGTTAGGTTATATATTTTCAGAAAGACTCGATTCGCTTGTGCTGTAAAGTGCTATCGCTTTTCTGTTGCCTGTGGGATAATTATTAGCATCTGTCTGCGGCGAAGCTGAAGTCATCTCTCGGGTATTTCCTACGAGTTACTGAAAAAGCTGATATTTAAATGCTTACAATCAAACGCCTTATCAGCCTCAACTACCACAGTTCAAATGAATCGCATTCTCCCTTAAACATACCCGAATTGTTAAAACAAAAGAATAACTCTTCAATATTACTGACAACACGCAATCTAAGCCTCTCTGTAAATAACGAAAGAATAAAATCCTCACACTTCCCCACAGCAATAATAAATTTCGGCAAATAGGACACAGAATAAAGGAAGGAAAAAACCCGCAGCACTGGCAACCGGAGCGTGTCTCTCCCTCCCCTGGCGAGAAACAGCTGCTGCGGGACAGACCTTCGCCCTCAGTCCCCAGCCAGGTCAGTGTGTGTGTGGGAGCTGAGGAGAGTGGATGTACAGCCCTCGCTCTCTGCGCATCGTGACTTGACTCTGAAATCTTGAGCCGCTAACTTCTAAGGATTATTACGTGGGACTTCTCAGTGCTGCCAGTCGGAAAGGGATTTAGTGAATGGTGACTTTGGTTGATCGAGAAGAGAGTGGAGTGTTCATTTGTTGAGGATTTTGATACGATTGGATTATTTTGTTGCCGAGAGAGCAAATAACATGTTGTGAAGTTGGACATTGACACCGGCTCCGCGACCAAGCCTTTTGCTCTCCCAAGTCTTGGATTAAGTGACACTCGCAACACAAGGAGGAAAATGGAGGAGTTGTACTGTGCTGAAGTGCCTGCATGCTCAGAGGGACCGATTGCGCTGCAAGACCCCGTCTTACTGCACGACAGTCGCGTGTTGACCAACCTGTTGCAGCTGCAGCCCTTCACCATGCCGGCACAGAACTACTTCAAACACATCCAGAGTGACATCCAGCCGTACATGCGGAAGGTCGTCACCAGATGGATGTTGGATGTAAGTATGAGTGAACTTTTATAACGCGGTTTGAATTTTAAACGGCCGAGGGAATTTCCGAGTTGCGTCTTGGTACCGAACGCGTTTCCACTCGCGTCCAAACCACGTGTTGCTCTTGCTGCTGGGGAGCTCAAGCGAGGAAAAATAGTTTTGAATGTAATTATCTTAGTATAATCGTTAGTTACTTAATCTATTACTATGTAACATGTAATATAATGTGTCTTGATAAACCACTTTAACGACATCCTTGTTGCCACCTCTCATCGTTAACAAAATGGTTATGTTTTGCTTACGTAGAGATTGACACTCACATCGATTTACGATTAACTGACAGAAGGCATAACCAAGTTCAAGTATGTGTGGGCGGGTAGGCCTAAGAACTCAAGAATATCAGAAGGTGCCGAGATGACCAGGGATTTTCTCAGCTGATATGAGCAAAAATGTGGAGTCTCGGCGCCAGCCAGCTGTCTGTAAATGGCTGCAAAGTTAAGATAAGATTTCATGACTTAGATTATGGGTGATATTAAAGGCAGCTCTGTGAATCAATTTAATAAGGAGATAGCCGGTATGACTGATTAATTGATTTTCCGTGTTTACAGTTATTGGGAGAGTGGGTTAACTTTCTAGAAAAAAATAACGATGAAACTCCTTCAAGGTTGAGGAAATGCCTGTAACTTGACACGTGACACTTCATCCCTCACGCGGCCACTAGACGGGCCTCACACTGTGTCCCTCTGCCGTGTCCCCTCGGCGTGTCCGCAGGTCCTTTGACCGTGTCCATGTGTTCCCTCCCCTTGCTCAGATGGCCCTAACTAAATCCACATGTTCAAAAAAAATCTTAACGCATTTCCCGACCACATACGCGTTCGTCCTGGCTGGACAACAGGACATTCATCCCCGGCCATGTTGCTCATCAACAGTAACCACGTCTTCGAGCCATCAACATGTTCCTTAACCTGCGGGGAGCCTCATAATGTAGGAGGGAGGGGCCAGGCTAGCCAGCACATTCTCCGCCGACTCTTGTAGGTAACAAACGGTCTCCCAGCAGCCGACCTCGCCTAAGTGTATATTCAGGCCTTCCCAGATGGCCTTTGGGACCTTGTAGCAATTATCGACGAGGAGACTAGCCTGTCCTCGTATCTTAGCTAGGCAGGCGGGCACAGCGGGCCGTCCAGCCTACATTAATTGTCCACCCACTGTCCTGACCACATCCTGCAGCTCTTGCTGGTTGGGACTGCTAAGGAGATTTTGAAAGGAATAAAGGATTTCGGGCGTTAATGACAGGATGGAAATCGGCTGGGGCTTTGTGTCGGTTTGTTTACGGGTCAGGGAGCTGGTAATAAAGCTAAGGACGTGTTTGATTTAGGTTACGTGTCCCGGCGAGGGCACGGCAGAGGGCAGGATGGCCACTTCTGCTACTTCGAGAATGCAGCGGTGGCTGGTTGCTTATCACGTTAATGCGTCGGGATCTGAGACTTTTGAGGAGTCCGGCAGGAAATCAGAAGCTCGTCGTCGGCAGTCCGGACTTTCATTCCTCCCCCACCCCCTCTCCCTCCCAACATGGTCCTCCTTGTTCCTCAATACACGTGACAGAACCGATATTTGTCAAAGTCGCGGCCATCGCCTAGGCCTAGCATTACTTCAGGCCTACACACAATGCGGGGCTTCCTTCTCTTTCTGCGGCCACAACACGCTGTAGCTAAAAGAGACGGAACTGTTTGAATTTTATGGATTCATTTTGACCAGTCCAGTGAAAGGATCGTGTTTCCGCGAGCTAGCCGTTGGAGGCCTGAGATTGTTGCCAGGATAAAGGCGAGGCCGGACTTACTTCGTGGGCGGAACTAATTATAAAATCTACAATTCTGCGAACGACACCTGAGGAGGAAGCATTTGATTCCTAAAGTTGTATCCTCTGTGTATGTCACCATGAGGAAGAAAACGTGTTCTTTTACTGAGTCAAACATAATAGATATGATATATTGATCAGCTTAAAAAAAAAAAAAAAATTTCATCAAGTTTGCGTATTCCAGACTTTCCAATCTCCCCATACAGTCATGTCAGAGGGGCGACTCTATCTCTTCCGCCTCACTTAGAAAAATGCAGGTGGAGGCCCTCATCTGCTTGGTCCATGGGCGTCTAAAACCCCTGTTTTACTCTTCAAGATCGTCTTCTTGACGTACAGACACATTCCAATCCACTAGAATGCTCGGGAACTAGAAAATACCTCCTTAAACTTCCACTTTTTAAATGTCTCGAGAGATTTAGGTCAGCCGCGTCTTATAGGCTGCGGCCGCTGCTTGAGGATCGAGAGGCGTACCCCCAGGCCGCAAGCACTCTGCGGTTTTGACACTTACCATCCGTGTACAGAAGGGCGAGAGTGCGCGGCGAGATGCATGTGTGACCGCTGTCCCAGGCCTATGACAGGGACGCCCGGGCGGGGAGGGTTTCACGTGGGTTGGGCCTCGTTACAGCGAACCTTTCGTTGTAGACGGGCTAATGGGAACGGATATATAGTATTAACTCGTTTTTTATAAGAAGGAGGATAGGGTTGAGGCGGTAGCGTTGACATACTGAAGGAGGATATACTGATGGGTTCGTTATGAAGGTCCTGTAGGAGCGAGGGGATTTCATGTGGCCTCACTAACTATGGGAATCCTTGAGCCCCGAGATGGTGCCAAATGCCTTTTGGGATATTTCTTTGCATAATTTTAGGGGAAAGTCGAACTCGGGCCGCGCACATTGAACGCGTGCATCTTCACATCTCGATGCTAGGAAGCTCGTAAAAATAACCAAACACATCAGGCTCCCCTTCCCCCTAGATGAGAGAATAATCACTTTATGACCCCCCCCCCCCCCACATCTAGTCCTCATGGGTACGCTGCTACAGTTACAGGACTCCTAAATTGCGGCTGTAACGTTCCCCTGTAGGCTGGTCCCTGTATACCGACCGTTTACTTGTACCCAAAGATTACTTACAGACTTCCGAATGCATTTTTGAGAGCCCCCCCCCCCCCCGTGTCCGCCATCTTGGGAACGGCGTAGAAAGTGGCATTAATGGTTCCGCTTCGTCGTTCGTAATGGATTTATTCGTTTTATATCGTACGTAATGTTGTGTTTGATATCAGGGGATTAAGATATTAGGTTTAGCGTTGCGTAAAATCCCGTATTCCTTGTCGCTTCCTTCCTCCATTTTCAACTTTCTTCCTCCTCCTCCTCCAGGTGTGCGAGGAACAGGCGTGCGAGGACCAAGTCTTTGCTGTCGCGATCAACTTCCTCGACCGGTTCCTGTGTGCTTGCGTGGTACAGAGGACGCAACTCCAACTCCTGGGCGCTGTGTGCCTCCTGCTGGCGTCCAAACTCCGTCAGTGCCGCCCTCTGTCCATCGAGCTCCTCGCCTACTACACTGACTACTCCGTCGGCGTTCAAGAGATCAAGGTACGTCGGGCTTTTGTTATTATTGCTTTCTCTCTTCATTTTAACGTTCTCCTATTCCTTTTTTCCCCTCTTTCTTTTTTCATATATATTTTTATCATAAGTTTTCGCGTCCTACTTTCACACTCCATCACCTGAGGCGGGACGGCGGTTGGACTGCACGCAACGATCCATCAAAATTTAGGCGCGCGGGTGACAAACTCTTAAACGCTTCTCTCGGCCTCTTCCTCTTCCGCTCTCCTCGCTTCGTAACTTAGCCAAGGCGCTCAAATTCGACCCGGTTTGTCTAAACAGCCTGGCTTACAACCTGCAGAAGGAGGAGGAGGAGGAGGAGGAGGAGGAAGAGGAGTAGGGGGAGGCGGAGTAAAGGACCAGGAGGAAGGGGGGGAGATAGGGGAGATAGGCCTATGCGAAGATCCTGCCCTGGGAACTTGGTGCGAGATTTCGGGAAAGGAGCTTAACCATAGTACATATTTTTTTTCTACTTCTCCCTCTTCCTTTTTTTTCCTTGTCTCTCTCTACTCATTCTTGACTTTGACTTTTTCGGTTTGTTATTCTAAAGTCTGAGTGTCATTTTTTGTGTCTTCTTTCACTCGCTCTTTCTCATTTAAAAAAAGAGAAAAAAAGAAGATCGCTTCGATAAATGACTCGCAATCTCTTTTAACATTTCCCTTTCATCGTGTTCATCAGTCTTTATCTTTTCTGTTTGTTATTTTATGTCAAAAATCCTTAGGAAATCCTCTTCACTTCACTTAACATCCGCTCTCTCTCTCTCTCTCTCTCTCTCTCTCTCTCTCTCTCTCTCTCTCTCTCTCTCTCTCTCTCTCTCTCTCTCTCTCTCTCTCTCTCTCTCTCTTTGTGTGTGTGTGTGTGTGTGTGTGTGTGTGTGTGTGTGTGTGTGTGTGTGTGTGTGTGTGTGTGTGTGTGTGTGTGTGTGTGTGTGACTTATACAGTGATTGTGTTAGTAACATGAGGCGATGACGCCGTGACACATGTCATTTGGAAGCAAGATGAGGCGGCGGGCGAGAGGAAGGAGGTGGAGAGAGAGCTGTCAATCAAAAACAACGTGTCGTGTTCCCGGGGCGCTGAATGCTCTCCAACCTGCTTCATCCCGAACGAGCCTCATGGGAACATCTCCCGAGGACTGAAGCGTAAATTCTCAAAAAAAGGGAAGAAAAGATAAAGGCCAGCTCTCTGTAAAATAGCTTGATATTTCTTCCTACCCTTCCATTGAACGAAAGCAAAAGGGATTTTTATTTTCTTTTTTTTTTACTTTCGATTATAAATTCCTAGGTCTACGACGCGGCTGGAAAGTGGTTTTGCGGGGCCGCGGTGTATGGTTTGCTTTGACCTAAGAGTGGAACCGCCCGTGACCAGGGAGGGGGGGGGGGCGGATGGAGGGGGTTGAAGGGGTTGGGGCAGTGACCCCTGCGTAGAAGGGGGGAGGCGTAAATATAGCAAGTGATGAACAGGGGGGAGCGAGGAGGGTGTCATATGGCACCCGACACCCTCATCAGGGGTGTTCCTCACTTAATGATACGTTATCGCCCTTACGTGTTACTTAGAAACGAGATCGTTCGCGTTTAGTTTTCTTTTCCCAGTCTCTCTCTCTCCCTCTCTCTCTTACACACACACACACACACACACACACACACACACACACACACACACACACACACACACACACACACACACACACACACACACACACACACCCTGGGGAGTTCTTTGACCCAGAACCAATTGGCGATGGCGGTTCTTAGCAACATTTGAATTAAGATCCTCCTTCGTCGGCCATAAAGACAGAAAGGGTGAAAAAAAAACTTTCCAAGCCCACCAGTGTGACAATAATAAAAAAGCTGCTAGGCCTACGGCTGCCATTTTTTGCGCGGCCGGCACTTTCATGGAGGCCTAAGAGAGGGGCAAAACAATATTATCAGGCAGTAAAATCGGTTACTTTATGGCAGTTTAAGCGTTACCTTTTGGGGGAGGGAGAGCGAGCAACAGGAGAAAGAGAGAGAGAGAAAGGGGGAAAGGAGACAGGAAAAAGAAAAAAAAAAGAGGGAACGGTATTTGGATGTCACACAGCTCTGGATTCTCGCAATTTTACACTCTGATCATGGCTTAGTTTGCGTATTTGTTTGTTGTTTGTCCGTTTGTTTTTCTGCTGCCATTTGAGGGTTCGTGATGGAGCACTAGCTTCTGGTCGATGGCCGATGGCCGCTGAAGGGCAATTAAGATGGATCAATTAGCATCTGCTTTTGACAATTACCACGATCGAGGGCCGAGTGGCGTGACCGCAGGCCTAATTTTGACGCGACTCCGCCAACGGATGTGAGGGATTTGTGACCTCAGGGCCTGCTGTTTTCACTCTCCGGCGCGCCGTGGCTCCTCGCGGCTCGCAGGAAGGAGCCACAACCCCGGAGGGAGAAGGGAGGCTTTCCTGCACCTTCAGGAGGCCGCGTGTCGTTCCTCTCCCTCCGCGCCGGGCGATGGAGGCATGCGGTCGGCGCGAGCACGTGCATCGGACCGCAGAAGTCAGCGATCTGTTGCTGAGGCACGTGCGCGGCTCCTAATTGCCGCGGCTTATTGTCCGCCGCTCGCCGCCATTGTTCGGCCCGGCGGCGGATTGGCATGTTTGCTAAATATGGCCAAGTTTCTCCTTTTCTGCAATTTCCATCCGTTGGAGGTTAGAAGTCCTTGAATGTCAAAACAAGTTAGGTAGTTTGTTGTAATTTGATAATTACAAAGGGTGGGCCAGGCGGCCCCTGCGCTATCGATCGGAAGGGTGTACAACAATGCCAGTTGTTGGAGTATGTACGCGCGCGCCCGCGAAATAACTCTGCATCGGGCGGCGGGACTGATTAATGATAAGCCGATCTGACCAGGGGCGGCCGGCGCGCCCCACACCTGGCCTAAGGATCATTATGCTTGCGCCCGCTCAAAGATTCGCCCTTTATTACTTTATTAGTTTACACCTCGATAGGCCTCCGGTCATTAGCGATATCATTTACCTAATGCGAGCTGGTCATTGTTGGTTGAGAGGACGGGCGTTGGCTCACGTCGCGCGCGGGAGGGACAGCCCTTTCGAATTTTGAATTAACAGAAAGTTTCGAGTCCGTTACGCCGCTATCGTTTCTCCCTCTTCAGAGGAACGCCCGATTCTCACAAGACATTTTTCCATCCACTTGTTCCCCCGTCTCCTTTGTGAAACTAGGAAATACCCAGGTCTCGTATGACGCGCTAAGCATCGTTACCAACTTACCAGATTTTAAACAGAGGGATCGGATTCCGCATGCTTCCCGCCGGCAGAAGCGTAACGAAAGGCACCTCGTCTGTCATGTAAGAAATAAGACATGCCACCCCGTATTCCTCCCCCCCCCTCTCCAGTGTACGCCAATGGATACTCGAGCCAAAGGTATCGAGGAATCTCCTTGCTTCGGCGGTGCTGTGCCACGCAGGAGGGAAGGGAAATGCTTTTGCGCGGGAAGGAGGACAGGAATCGACGAGCCGTGTAGCACGGAAGACGCTCGCCGGCCACGGAGACCGAAGGAGAACAAAACTCGCTCGACAAGACCCGGAAACGCAAGAGTGTAAAATCTTGAAAACATGTGCCACTGAGACAGACGGAGATGCCCCTTAGAATGGCACTGGGCGAGAGAATGTCTTAACTGCCAACCGTAACTGACACTAGTGATTTCCGGCGCCCACACAACACAACACCCTTCCCCCCCTCGCCCGCCCTCGCCCCGCCTCTAACCTCCCTACGCCCACAAGTGACGGCCGTGCCTATAACTTTCCGCGGCCGTCGCCTCACACGCGCACCCCGGAGGCCGCTGCTCGACGAGAGATTTACACAGGCCAGCCGCTACTTCTCGAGGCTGTTTCTGCTTCCTTCCTCTCCCGTTCTCTCGCTTTTGCTCTTGTTCATCTGCTTTGGCTTTTCCTTCTCACTAGTTCAGTCTCCTTTGATTCCTATTTATTATTCTTATCAGTTTTCTTCCTTTTCTCGACTTCCTTCTCTTATCTATTCAATTTCCTTCTGCCCCTTTCTCCTCCTCCTCCTCCTCCTCCTCCTCCTCCTCCTCCTCCTCCTCCTCCTCCTCCTTCTCTTCCACCTTCTGCACCTCCTCCCTCCTCCCTCCTCCCTCCTCCTTCTCCGTAAATACAATACCTCCGTACTTTCACACTCACGGACCCACCATCCTCCTAGGAACGTGTTTCCCACAAAAGGCGTCCGTGAGAAAGCCGTAAGACGCGGCCGAGGACACAGTACCCAGATAAAGGCCCGAATCCCCGAGGGAGTATGCCCATGCCCAATACCCAGCTATGTTCACGCCTGCCCACACACGGCCCATGCCCAGCAACCCACCCACGTCGGAGCATAGCGTGGTGGTGGTGGTGGGGGGGGATGTGCCGTGTTCGTATAAGGGGGTGGAGGAATTCGGATAATGAACGAGAGAGAGATAATGATGTGTGAAAAGGAAGAGAAAAATTATTTTTATTCTGGTCTCGCCCTTCCCATACCGCATGTTAATTTCTCAAAAAAAAAAAACTTTTGGATTTCTCCCCCTCCCCCCCGTTATCGAGAACTTTTTAAAATTTTCCACTCGTTGATCACGTGACCGAATCGAATGGGGGAGGGGGAGAGGGGGGGTCACCATCGCCGTTGCCGTGGCGATTGCGTCACCGTGTCACCTGAGGGAACGCCACATGACCGGAAGTTGCTCATTTATTGGCTCTCGGGTCGTTTAATGATTGCTAATTAGCTCTTCTTCAAGGTCTCTGGCGAAGGAGGATAAATGGCGGAGGAAAATTAGAGAAGGAAGGGGAGGAAAGGAAGGAAATAGAGAAGAATGAAAAGGGAAGAGAAGAATAAGAAAACGAAGTGGGAAGAATAAAGAAGGGAAAGTGGAGAAGGAAGGGAAGAAGAAAGAGAGAAGGAAGAAACCGTACAACCTTACAGAGAAAAATAATCGCATGACAAAAGAGGCGAAGAAGAA